TATATGAAACCGCAAAAAAAAGGTTCGTTGCCGTGAATCGAACTTGCAATCTACTCCCTCTATCCGAAAAATAAGTATTTCCGAATGGAGGGAGTATTCGTTAAGTCTAAACCGCATTAACCACTAGGGACAACTAACGCATGTGCCTTCATACTTATTCATTTCGTTTTATTCTTTCTTAGTTCTGCCTTCATACTTCTTCATTTCGTTTTATTCTTTCTTAGTTCGCAGAAAGCCCCCGGGTTTACCGGTTTTTCCCGATTCGCTGGACATTTTTTCAGATGGTTTCTTCATTGTTATATTCCTTCTATTTCTTGTTCCTTGTTCCTTTTTTATTGTTCTTTTTTTTTTTCTTAAATGCTAAAAAAATCAAATTCATGAACTTTTTTTTCAAAATCAATGAACTTTTTCAAAATCAACAAACTTCTTAAAATTTGTGAATTGTTTTAGGATATTCTAATTTTTCTCTATAGTCGACCGCGACCAAGTGAACCCAGAACCCAGTCAACAGTGAACAAGCGAAGGAAGTGGCCAGCCACAGTGACGTGCCGACTGCCGAGCGAGCGAGCACGTTGGGCTGCCCCAAGTAGTTGCCCTCTATCGGATTCAGATCAGAGACGTCGGCGCATCTCCGTTAATCATTTCAGCTTGGCACCTGAAGATGCTCCGATGGCTCCTGCTGATTGCCGTTGGTGGTTTATTCATACATGTACCACGATCTACTGAGCATATCACCGATCAATTTCTGAAGGCATGTACATTCCAGTAATGTTTTGTCAAATGTTTATCCTTTAGGAAGTTTCTCCTGTATTGAACTCTGTGGATGCTGCCTGTCGGTGGGCTTTATTAATTTAAAGCCGGACGCATCGTGCGTCTTCGTTTAAAAAAATAATAATTAACAGTAGTTGCTTGTGATTAGATGAGAAATACTTCCTCCATTCGGAATTACTCGTCCAAGAAATGAATGTATCTAGATGTATTTTAGTTGTAGATACATCCATTTTTATGACAAGTAATTCCGAACGGAGGGAGTACAAATTTAATTTATCTTTTGTTTTTATACTGGCTATAACTTTCTATGGAAAAGTGAAGATAAAGAATATAATAAATTTAGAGAAGTGCTATTATATAACCTACGACAAAGCACATACAATTTTAGTACGACACTAGAGTTAGCGTCGTATCTGAAGCAATCATCATCAGTTCTCAACCAGCTCCGAGCTTTTCTTGGAATAAAATGGCAATCTTGATTAATTCATCTCTTCTCAGCTCATACTGCCTATTCTCGTTCCAGAATCAAGATCATCACATCCCAAACACATAGAAACAATGCTGACTGAACCGGCTCAATCAGTGTAGCAACACAATCTAATCATCCAACAATATAACAATCGGGGCACGTGTGTTCGTTTCAACCAAATATACTTTACTTTCATTCATCTTCGGTTCCAGCGAAAGATAAACAGAGTACCTGCTCTCACAAGTAACACTATGTGGGAATAAAGATAAGGTTTCCCATTGCACATCTTAAAATTAACCCCACTACCGAATTCTTTCTCGGAAAATTTAGAATTGCAGCCCAAAGATCCATGATCCATTGCATCACAAAACCAAATTATACAGGTATCACCACCATGCATGTACATACAAGGAAAAAAGGGGGATAGATCATAACATTCTCTTGTTCTGTCTGCTTCAGCTGCTTTGTCGGCAATCTTGAATGGAAATGGGGACGTGCTTATCTCTGAGTTCCAGGCCATGTTCAAACTGAACCCAGCCGGGAGACGGTAGCAGTGACAAGAAAAGAAGAGATCGCAGCAATACTAAGCGAGGGATGAACGTCATCTGTTTTAACATATCAATTCTTCTCCAAAAGTAACTCCAGAAATTCTCAGGACTGCTAAAACTGGAGAGGTCACCTGGCGCTCGACCTGCTCTTGATGATGATCAACCAAACAAGGAGGTGTTCCATCAAATGATAAGCAAGGCAGAGCTGTTCCCTGGTCAGAAGCTTGTGACATTGCAATGTTCAGATATATGGTACAGTAATATACAAAATTGCTCCATCCTAGATGGGGCACACAGTTTGCACAAGCGAAAACTGCTTGAACTCCATCTTCCCATTATTTATTAGACTTGAGCCCCATTCTGAAGAACATCAATTGCAGAATTCAAGAAAAAAATTGTTCACATACAGGAACAAATAGATCGGACAAGCTCTCACTTGGCAAGATTCTCCCCAAAAGTAAAAAAATAAAATAAAACTGAGAACAGAGATCCATTTTCAGGCTTGAAGAGTTGTATCAGTTCCCGTCCAATCCCAGTTTATGTACACAGGGTTAAAATGTTAACCTACAAATTTTAACACCTACGGGTTTATAATGAGGTTAAGTAAGCAAGCATGATACTCCCTCCATACCAAAATAAGTGTCTTTGATTTAGTACAACTTTAGTACAAAGTGGTACTAAATCAAAGACACTTATTTTGGGACGGAGGGAGTGCTACGTACCAGACCAGACACAGCCTGAATCTTAGCATTCCTTCCTGAACCTCCAGTCATGATCGAGATGATCAGAACGTGGCAAACACAACATTAATCATCAGGATTACAGCCATACCAGACAGACAGTTTATAAGAAAATCTACAGGCTCTTGACCCATACTAAACACCATTGGCTATCAAAAAAAAAAAAAACTTGTTTTGCACAGAGATCAGAAGTCTGCCATTTATGAAACAAGAAACTCCTGACGGCAGCCAACTGACAGCTCTAGTTCAGTTGAAAACAAATGATATTTTTCTGCCGTACTACTATTTTCTCAAGGCAGCTGTGTGGTACCTGGAGTGTGCCGTGTTCTTCCCAGGCACCTGAAAAGAGGTGCCCATCTGCCTTTTTTGTTGCCTCCTGCAAAAGGTTGACATATATATGACGAGCAGTTTTCCCAGCTTCCAATCTGTAGCTACCACTCTTGTTGAATCTTTGCTGTCATTTCATGTAGGGAAGGTCTCCAGAAATACACCTTCTGTTCTTGGTTAATTAATTCACCGATGCTATCTGTAAAGAGAAGGATACGGGATACTTTGGATCCAATCCAAGGAACTGAAGATATACAGGTAAACAAAAATCTCTAGTCCAAGATTATGTATGATCTATACAGGTAGGGATAAAACAAAAATCACAAGATCAAGATTATGAATGATCTATACAGATAGGGACAAAACAAAAATCACTAGACAAAGATTATGTATGATACTAGTTGGGATTCAAGCCTATGCTCATTGCGGCAAATGTTCAGACTGACAAATGGATGTCCGGCTCTGTACGAATATAAAACTGTTACACGCGTCTGACTCATTCCATGCCAATTTTAAAATAAATACATCATCAGTTCTGGAGCAGCTCGGAGGTTTTCTACGAATAAAATGGCATTCCAGAGTCCTAAAAAGAACATTCACGAATCAGGAATCGCCACATCACAAACATACACAGAAACAACGCCTGATTGAGCCGACTCAAACAAGGTGGCAACACAGCCAAAGCAATCAACCACGCCAAGAGATCTTATTTTTGGTGGCCATTCAGTCCAGTTCACAAACTAATATCGTGTATGAAGCTGAATGTATATAAAACTGTTGTTACCACTGTCAGCAAAACTCTGGTGTACTGATTTCTTTCACCTGCATGCTGCTATTTGTACAAGAGTAGGAACTACAATTTGATTTCATTGACATTGATGCAATTTATCTGTGATTAACAGATCCAAAGCTCTACTGAATTCATTAGCTACAACAAACATACATAAAAAGAACTTGTTCAAAGGCAGTGTTTTATCAAAATACTGAATGAATAATGTCAACTAGACATTTGCACTAGTAACCAGTCTGATTGACCCTTTCACTACATTACCAGGTTCAAAATCTGCAATAGGACTTAGGATAACCATAATAACTGATTGTTATGGAAAGGAAGAGCGATTACAGTATAATTTAGCGACATGGAACTAACACATGTCCAGAACAACAACCTGTGCTAGGTAAACAAGAACAGGGGTAACAACCTGTGCTAGGTTTACCAGGCATTGCTCTGAACCGAAAATCAACCAAGCAGGAGTGTAAGCACCAGCAAATTGAGCGGCATGATTCAAGCAGATTCAGAGGTACACAAACAGGTACTTCAGCCGGCAGAAGAGCCAATTCTTGGAGGAAGCACAAGCCTGGTTTGAAGGTAACACTACCACCCATCTCCATCTGCTAATGACTCTGAGAACAGAGGAACATAAGGTAGAAATCGTTGTGTATTCTTCTCAAGATTAATGATACAACCAACTTTCTGATGTTGCATATCGTACCCTACCAAGGTATCACCTCCATGTGAAACCAGGAAAATGGTGTCGCAATCTGGATGAATCCCAACCACCCTGTACTTCTCCCCAGTCATGCTCATAAGCTCATCGATGCTGGCAGTATGCTTCAGAACCAATTCTTTACTGTCACAATCCTTGAGGCACCAGAGTTCTATCTCAGAATATAGGATTTTATTGTTATCATCGACGGAAGATACAGCATAGAGTAAGCACCCCTGCGACGATCCAATCGTACCAAATCTTCGACCGTACGGCATAGGGATAGTCCTCCGCACTTTACCTTGCATGTCAATCCCCAGGAGCACATGCTCGTTGCTGATGCCCTTCGGGTTGCCAATCACGTACATCATACCGCCGACAAAGACACCCTTACTATAGAAGAACAGCGCCACTTTCTCAACAATCCCACCATCTCCGCGACTCCAGGCTCCTGTTCGCGACGAGTAGACGTTCACTCCTGTCATGTACGTTTCCACAGTGGTCTCCTCAAAACAAAAAACGTGGAAATGGGACGAGACTGCCGGATCAAAAGCTAGGCTTGCCATACAGTTATATCTAAATCTGTCTGCCGGCGCCTGCGGTTGAGGGGGCAGCTCCACCCACCTCCCAGTGGCCGGATTGCACACAACAAAACGGAAATCGTCCTCTGCCAAAGCCCAAGGGTTCACCATGTTCTTGCTGGAGCTTAGGTAGAGAAGGAGGCCATTGCAGGCGTCCACCTGAGCCATGTCCTTGTACTTGCTAGGCTGCAGGTAAGGGAGGGAAGGGTCGAACGGGGCTGCGCCGCGGGAGACGCTGGCGAAGTGGTGGCGATTCCGGCCGGCGGTGGCCGTGTAGAGGAAGCCGGCGAGGGTCTGGGGCAGCTTCTTGCGGTTGGCGGGGTCGGCGATGAGGTCGCGCCAGCGCACGGAGACGCACTTGAAGCGGTGGAGGGATCTGGCCGGGATGCGGGAGAGGATCTCCAGGATGAGGTCGTCCGTGAGCCGGCAGGCCGTCCCCGCCGCCGCCCCCGGATGGCTATCCAGCCTCGACTTGTTGTTCCTCTCGAAGACCTCCCCTTTATCCGCCTCCTCCATCTCCATGGATCGGAAGCGGGAGAGCCCAGGCAGGGGACAGGTAAGATCTGGTGGATCTGCAGTTGGAGAGAGGATATCATCGATCTGGCGTAGGAAAATCGACCCGGGTAGCAGCCGGCGGTTGTGACCTCGCCCCCGCCGTGGTGAGTCGGGAAAGGTGGACAGGTGGTACCTTGGTTTAGGCGGCGCCGGGCGACGGAGATGCAGCCGGCGGCGCCTCGCTTCTCGGAGGACAGCGGCTCAGGAAAATCGACTCTTCACGACGGCGAATGTGAATGCTGAACTCTTTTTTTTCCCCGAGGAAACCGAAGCTCCTTGTTTGTTGTAGAAGAGTTACCGAATTTTGAGAATTTATAACTTTTGGAGTTTATCATTTTTCAGACATGTTTTCAAAGTCAAGAAGAAAAAACACTTATCTTCATGGCAAGCAAGTGTCGAATCGATACACCAAAAGACCCTATATATTTTCGCACGAAAGTGAAATAACCACTTTACAAGGAAAATCGGCCGAAAATCAATACATATCCACGCACACGCGCGCCAGCCCCGAGGCTGCTCCAAGCGAGTCGATGAATTTGTCGTCCAAGTAGCAACGGATGACACCCTATCATAGGACGCCGAGCCGCCGCTCCGACTTTACAAGCCACACCAACACAGACGGCGACCCTGCGGTCGAGTTCCCGAACAAGCCGTCGACTCTACCGCCTAAACAACCAAAAAGACACCTTACAAACATGATCTGGTGGCACCGTTCGGACTTACAAATCGCAACAACGCACACACCAACCCAGAGCCCACGTAGTGGATGAGCCAAATACTTGGTACCCAAGCAACCTTAGGCGACATCCACCCATATGGACCCCATGGTTCTAAGGCCTTCTCTGGTGCTCCACCATGTAGAAATGTTAAGGTTGCCAGGAGGACAAAAAATATGATGTGGCAAGATAGTTACAAGGAGAAAGAGCACTTTGATGACCTAGAAGAAACAATGCTAAGTACATGTACCTATTATTAATAGGATAACTAATACTTAAATGGGAGGAGATAATTACAATAGATTTCTTATACTCGTGCATTTTAAAATACTCTATCAAGATATCTATAATACCTAAATAGTTCATCCCCACTATCCTATTTCTCTTGACATGCAAGCTATCCACATCATCAACTTGCCACATCAGCATTTCTTCACTAGCTTACATAAGGGACCCACCACAGATTGACCAACATACATAATGGACATGTCACCCTTTGGTTACCAGCTGTAGAGAGTAGAGACCCACCACCGGTTCCCCAGCGTACACAAACAGCGTACAGAAGCCAAAAGAAAAATAACGTACAGAATTGCGACAGTCTCTCTCCCTCGGTTTAGCTAAATCCATCGACTTCCTTTTCCCTATGTATAGTCCAATGCGGCGGCTGGGATCCCATTACATATCACGCGCCAGGACCACCGGCTTGGCTCCCCTCTGCGATTTCCCGGGGATTGCTCACCCGCGACCCCTTCTCATCGGCACCGCCACTCCCTCTCTCTTCGTCAACCTCTCGGTCTATCCTCCCCTCGTCTGGTGCTACCCACGACGGCGACTACCAGCAGGGCCTTGGGGGAAGGTGACACCGGCGGGGATGCGGTAGCTAGGGAGGCGAGCGACAGCTGTTGGTGGTACCTGCATATCTCAATTTTGTTTTAAAAAGTTCAAAACTCTCAAATGCACCTCGGGTAGAACTTCATAGGTTTTGCCTGGACTTGCATTTCAGCTGTAGTGTGTTGTGATCGGTAGTTGTTTCCTTGACTACAAATTCAGAGTTGATTGGAATTTTGTGTCAGAGCTAACATCACTGAATCTGTCGGTGACACCACACACTGCTTGCAGTTCCTAGCTTTTCTCCTTGAAGCATGGCATCTATAGCGTGCGTGCCTAATCTCACAACCGTTTTTTCTCTCTAATGACTTTCTAAATTGCAAATTACTTTTGCTCCCAGATCATGCAACAGAAGGGTAACACTTGGACCATGGCATCTCCCTGACATTTTTGTACTCCCATTTTTATTTTCAATAATTTAGTGATTGATATCTTATTATATAATTCCAATTTTAAAATTGTTGATTCAAACTTGCTAGGATTCTTGACGATGTGTGGTAAGACGTCTGCTATCAATCAAATTTGGAACTCTTGAGAAGGTAAGGATGTTTCACTCATTTGTAATATTTAAAATATTTGTCAACTTTAGCTGCAACTATTTTTTACTTGCTTTACCCAGTTATATTTCTACAATGATTTGCCAAGGTAATTCCCTTCCTCTTTGTTATCCATTTCTCTTTACTTGCCTCCTCCACATTCATGATATAACCACTTCCCTATAAGCTTGCCTATCGTTGTATCCGCACAGGAACCCCTCCCACTGGAGTTGTGCCATCCACGCACATGAGGTGCAACAGTGCCATGGTGGCATGGCTTTGGAGCAGGAGCTATGCTTGCTGCCACCACGAGATATTCACGCACATCCACATATGCGCCATCCGTACACATGAGGTGCATCTGTCCCATGGTGTCCTCGCTTTAGAGCTGGAGCTGTCCTTGCTACTGCCGTGAGATATTCATGCACATTGACATATGTGCCTGACCTTGACGCCTCTACCTGATGTGCACATCCACATATTGGCACATGCAATGCTGAAGAGGCACGTGACAATTTCCATTTGCCTGTGCTTTCTTTTACTATTCTTTTCTGTTCATACATGTTCATTACGCTTGGTTACGGCAGCGAGATATCATCTAAGGAATGATTAATCATCAAGAGGTGTACAAGGTAAAGCAAGGAATACATCAACTGTCTTGAGTATCGGTGAGTGCTTACATCATCTTAATGCCAATGGATCTTCGCTAATAAAAAAAGATTATCTCACAATATCACCTTATGATATTTGTACATATTGCGTTATTTTGGTATAAAAAAGAATATGCATGCCATAATCTGAATCAGAGAATGAACTGGGTCCAAACATATATAGAATGGTTAATGATCATGTGAAGACATTAGGATGGAGGATGGGGTCATGAACAAAAAGTTCTAGCTACTTCTTACATGCAGCTTGTATTTCCTTTCATATCTGCTGGTGGTTAAAGTTACTTCTCTTCTGCCATATCATATCCAGTAGTAAATTGAAAGCACCCATATGTGCAGAACTCACATGTGAGTTTCAGTGCTACGTCTTAGGTTTAGTTTATTGATCACAAAAAAAGATGTTACTCCTATAATTTGATAATATACTTTTATTATATTACAATGATTTCATACTAAAGCTAAATTCATGTGGTGTTACATAGTGGACCTTTCTTTACACCATACCTTCCTGCAGTAACGCGCGGGGAATCATCTAGTTTATAGAAAACACAAATACAGACACATTTAGGACAGTAAAACTAACGCTAATCCCTGCCTTCTCGGGCCATCAACATCTAGACCATTCATTTTTGTGATCTTGCAACTTTTAGCCGTCTGGTCTCCATTAGTCGGTTGTCTCGCACGTCTCGCAGCAAGAGGTGTTCTCCCTTTCTTACTGGACTGCGTCTGGCCATCCTCATCTCAGCAAAAAAGTTGAGTTTGGGTTGTTTGTGTTTTCCCCTATGGATCAAGGGATTTTTAAGTTTGGGTGAACACATGCTTTCGTTGTCCGTTTTAGTATTCATTTCCGCTTCCACACACAAATTAAAACAAATTGTGGTAGCAGGTAGGTCCATCTGTTTCCGCTCCGTTTTCATCCCTACTCATATGCATTTAGATACTAGATGAACGGTGAGCAACATCAGAGTTGCCATATCTTAGTCTTTGCAAAAAATATGTTCGTTCATTCAAACACTTTGATACCTCTCCTCCTCCAGCGTTTGCATTGTGCCCTCCTTTTGCAAAAAACATGTTTAGCACATCAAGCAAACATGCACATAGTTTTTGACAAGTTGCATGGACAAATGCATTTGACAGGCGACATGTGCAACTCACATGTTATCGTTATGTTAATTGTCCTCTCCTCCTCCAGCGTTTGCATTGTGCCCTCCTTTTGCAAAAAACACGTTTAGCACATCAAGCAAACATGCACATAGTTTTTGACAAGTTGCATGGACAAATGCATTTGACAGGCGACATGTGCAACTCACATGTTATCGTTAGGTTAAAATTGTTGATTCAAACTTGCTAGGATTCTTGACGATGTGTGGTAAGACGTCTGCTATCAATCAAATTTGGAATTCTTGAGAAGGTAAGGATGTTTCACTCATTTGTAATATTTAAAATATTTGTCAACTTTAGCTGCAACTATTTTTTACTTGCTTTACCCAGTTATATTTCTACAATGATTTGCCAAGGTAATTCCCTTCCTCTTTGTTATCCATTTCTCTTTACTTGCCTCCTCCACATTCATGATATAACCACTTCCCTATAAGCTTGCCTATCGTTGTATCCGCACAGGAACCCCTCCCACTGGAGTTGTGCCATCCACGCACATGAGGTGCAACAGTGCCATGGTGGCATGGCTTTGGAGCAGGAGCTATGCTTGCTGCCACCACGAGATATTCACGCACATCCACATATGCGCCATCCGTACACATGAGGTGCATCTGTCCCATGGTGTCCTCGCTTTAGAGCTGGAGCTGTCCTTGCTACTGCCGTGAGATATTCATGCACAT